TTATTCTACAAATGGATCTTGTTACTAGATTTTGAATCCTACTGATTTGCATACTATGCAAATACGGTTGTTTAGGATTAGTTTAATCTGGCTATTCTACAAATGGATCTTGTTACTCGATTTAGAATCCTACTGATTCGCATACTATGCAAATACGGTTGTTTCGGATTAGTTTAATCTGGTTATTCTACAAATGGATCTTGTTACTCGATTTAGAATCCTACTGATTCGCATACTATGCAAATACGGTTGTTTCGGATTAGTTTAATCTGGTTATTCTACAAATGGATCTTGTTACTCGATTTTGAATCCTACTGATTTGCATACTATGCAAATACGGTTGTTTCGGATTAGTTTAATCTGGTTATTCTAAAAATATATCTTGTTACTCGATTTAGAATCCTACTGATTTGCATACTATGCAAATACGGTTGTTTCGGATTAGTTTAATCTGGTTATTCTAAAAATATATCTTGTTACTCGATTTAGAATCCTAGTCCATGCCGCGGGATCGTGATTTTTGCGATCGTCTCATTATTTACAATGTTAGTAGTTCTAACTCACTCCAAGTAGCAATGTACAAGGTGAATGTCTGGTTGTCATAGTTTACATTTTATCAAGATCAAGAACAATTCGACAGACGAAAATCATTTTTTTTAAAGGGCCACATTGAGTGTTGAGATAGGGAGGTTTGCGATAACAAATATTTGGCACAATAATATTTTTTTACAGATAAATGCAATATGAGGGATATGTACCAAAATGGCTGTACATGAGAAAGACAAAACACACTTGAATAATATATATATCATAAGCAATTGAACATAGAATCCCATGAATATTTAATGTGTATCGTATACTGCAATAGCTTGCCTACACGATTTATTCACGGTAAAATATCACGATTAAGTTAATGCGATAAAGAGACAAGGTAAATGACCGTGATTATTATACATCTAACACCGGCGAAAAAAAAGAATTTGATTGAATTTTTCACTACATGTATTTCCAGTATTGCATCGAACGAAGTCTGATATGTTTACTGTAAACACATTATTTTCATTTCACGATATCTTACCGTATTTTTTTTAACAAGATGAAACATCAAACATAATTATTACAGATGTATCAAAATACACACAGACATTGCCTTTATTGAATATAGATAGTGTTTATGATAAAATAGACAACTATTTGTAAGAAAACTCGATACAAATTATTTTTTAATATATTGACAAACAAACAAATTTGAATTGAAACGAACCCGATCTTGTTTGTAACTGTTGTTGCTCAATCATTCGCTTTTCGCGACGTCATTAACAAAATATACTCAACCTTACATCTTGCAATGAAAGTGACATCAATAAATGAAACAATCCAGAAACTAAAGATTAAACTAATTAATACTGGAATCAAAATTACAGCAAATATTCTTCAAACATGAATAAAAAAAATAAATCAACACTTTAATGATGAATGCATATTTGGCCGACAGCTAGCCACAGTATTTGACAATTTTGACGCCAAATGTGTATATTGTTTTTAGTTACCATTCAATGCAGTAGATAACCAAATCTAGTAATTATGCATTTATCGCCTAATGACTAATTACAGTTGCCCGTGGCCATGCGTGTAAAACTATGATACCTTGACATTGAAATCAGATTTCAAATTACTGGTTACTACAAAATCCTTTGCCTCCAGGTCATCAAAGTTTGTGCAAGATACAATCGCCGAATCTGGAACCTACAAACAAAGTGTGACAATAGTTAAAGGAATTCCGTAGGTGAAAATTATGGTTGAAGTACCCCACTCTTATCGGGGAGAGGTAATTATAGAGGTTATCATCACATTACTTATAGTTTTTAAGGTGCGCACCTTTTCAAATGTTTTGTCCGAAAACCAGTCAACTATTATATATGTTGCGTGGTCAATGGAATTATTTCATTTCATTAGGATTTTAAAAACAAGTCGTCACATTAATTTGAAAGCAATATAGCGTATAACGGTTTCCATATAATGACAAAATTATTTAAGCAAAGTAAGAACATCATTACCACAGTAAACAATAAGAAAACTCAATTAGGCGTAAGTCACTATCCGATGAATACTGCCGATCGATAACATATCGAGTGAATTCCACCGGCTAAATGAATCAGTGTAACATTTGGACACAATAGTTCGACACACTTCAATCACATATATAAGACTACAACGTACCTTTTCCAAGTAAGAATACTGTGGATCCACCGTTTTGAAGACAGGATCATTACTGGCGCGGTTATATGCAATTATAAACGCCCATCTGCGCTGTGTGCTGTGGTTCTGGGCACTGCTGTGTAGTATGTTACCTGGACAAATGTAAGATTATAGTGAATCAAACTAAAGTTAAAGGTGACCATAGATACTAATAATGCTACCACAGTCAACAAAAAAGACTTAAAGATGCAGTGGATTTATGTTAGCATAATAAAGTTGTAAACATGCATCCTTGAAATAGTAATATCCTGAAAATATCCATATTATCATATAAACCACACCGGCACCAGAAATTGCTTTTTTACACACCAATGACTTCACAAAATATTAGTTTCGTACAACAGACTTGTTTAAATCTTGTACTCACAGTGGAAATAACAAGCATCGCCAGGTTCAAGTTCCAGGTAAACTTTTTCAAAACGATCTGATTTTAAGATCAGATCCAGTCGCTCAGGGTCTACTCCAGCTTGACCTCCAGTTAGGATGTGTTCAATTCTTCCCATTTTATGCGAGCCCGATAGAATCTGAAATGACATGTTTCTGGTGAATTTCAATGTTAAACGTTATAAAATTTAAATTGGTGGACGCACCAATTATGCTAAACCACTGCGTCATCCGACCGTTTGCTTGTATTGTAAGTGACAATAAGAGACAAGGTGTGTGGTCATCGCTCGTGAAGGAATAGTTTCGAATCGAAACGCCATTTTTCCCTCACATTATTGGCAATTGCACAAACAAAGACAAGTTGAGTGTCGTTATTGTTTAATAATAAAGATGAAGCATGTTTCATTGAAGCTGCAAGTGCATCAATACTCAATCCCATATTTGCCGAGAATATTACAATGTAGCAAACTTACCTGAAGGCATCCATTTTCTTTGGTTGCCTTGTCAACGGCGATGAACACTGACGCCATATCCGGAAAAAGACAACCATAATGGTACCAATACCTGAAAGGTCAATTTGATAATATAGTTGAGACGAATCTGTACTGGCGTGTATCCGATTTTTAGTATACGGCATACTGAATGGGGAGGAAAAGTAATGTTGTTCAGAGCGTCAACTGTACGTATTTGATATAGACTATAGCCACTCTCTCAAAAACATTAAAATATTATCGAAGTTTTGATTGGTAAACTTTCTTTCCATTTATAAGAAGTGATACGATAATAACCAAGCAGTGGGTACAGACAAAATGAGCGATCCCTTAATATAATGTTTATGAATTCAAATTACTAGTTACTTTACCCATAATCCTGGTGCCATCTATAACTTGCTCCCACCAATGCATCTTTCATGATAACTTTAGAGTGATAATGGTATATTTCTCCTCCAAGTAACTGTCAATATGTGACATACAATATACAATGATCTTACATCATCATTACATATGATCCAATAACTGAGAGTTGGACATGAGCGTATGTTTCTATCAGAAATCAAACCAGTTTCATTTTTTACTACTGTAACAGTGTTATTTTACATTTTGCGTATGTTCTAATATATTAATATAAATGCCCATATAAATGTATTCAGTTGATGTCAACAGAACCATTCCAAGAACTTTACGCTAATTTCTATGTTATGTCTTCAAGGCCACAGGAGAGACAATACTTTAATATATTATGGACAATTGATATAATAGACTCTCTGTTTGCCGAGTTTTTGTATTGTCGCCGAAGGTGCAAACTATAGCAGTTTTAATATTGCTGTTTAGAACACAGGGCTGGATACCCGAAGTGCAGTATGAATGACAAAACATAATCCATAAAAAAACATAATACACAGGGCTATTTAGTAATTAGCTTACATCTCTGAGCGTGCTGAACACATGTATCAAAGTGCTGGTATAACTATCATACAATGTAAATATCTGAAGTTTATTACAAAGGTCGAGTCCCCGGATGAACTATTTCTAACTCCATGTTTACGAATGTTACCATGTAATTGCAAATGTGCATGCAGTAAATGTGCCATGTATTGTCGGAAATTAATATGGATATGCTTATTGTTTACTATTATTATTGATACTGTGTATCGTGTTATATTATTATACTGCTATATACATCGTTTATATCGCCTAAGCTTGAATGTAACACAACGGGATACGACCTTGAACACTGTGCTATGATGCGAACGTGAGAGGCAGCACCACATCATTTTTATTGACCAATCACAGTATTGTATATTTGTATCTAAGTTTCGAAGCTCAAATTCAGAATCCCCACGAGGGTATATAAGTATTCATTGTATTTTATTCGGGGCTTTTCTATGGTATGTTCACGTAGTAATAACAACTTGTGTTATACTCTGATAAGTACGTGTCTTGTCTGACTGCTGGACATCTGGTATTACAAAGAATATTACGTCCAAGTATACGACTTACCACATGTATCTTCCATGATGGGTGAAAAACAATACAATATCGGTCGCTTGTGTAGACCTAATGACTTGTGGTCAACATCAGTTTCTCGGCTTTTGCATTTTTACTCGATTACCTTTGAATCCTCCCCGCTTTTAGCAATACTGACACCTCTATGAATGTGTTTAGAACGTTTGTGAAACATATCAAGATTTGATATAAACCATGAACCTTTTTAGCACACTTTTCGGTTTGTTTATGCTTTACAACTCAAGACCACTGAACTTTGTTTATATGCGACTCATATGTTCTGTCCCTATGCACTTCTGGACAATGCCTTTATCAAATTCCATTAGTGTTAATATAACAGGTATAATTACAGCTTGTCTAGGAACCAATCAGCTAATGGTTTGTGCCTGATACACCAGTATAACTAGTTATTGTTCTATTGTTCTACTAGTACTGTGTGTTATTTCCATCTGCTACCAAAATATATGTGTCAGGCAAATACAACTGACTATTTCGAACAGGTGCTTATAGGGAATCTAAATACTGCCATGTTTAAAAACTGGTCAACATACTCCACCATCGATTAATTAATCTTGAACTACCTGACACGATTGCTCCTGAAATTAAAGTCAAGCAAATCGTGTTTTATTTTCATCTATCAACCCCGGATATTGATCTGAATACAAAATAACTTTGGAAAAGGAAAATATTCTTCTCGTAGATTTTAATATTGATTTGCAATTAACAATTAATAATTGCAGAGTGCAATTACAAATGTACAACTAGTTATAATGAAAGCATAACAAGTCAGCTGGTGCGACAATAGTGACCTAAGCTGTGAGGTAACATGACTATCGAGTGGGTGTTATCTGTGTAATTGGGTGTGTGTGGTTTAATCAATTGATTAATTGTTACAATATGCTAGAAAAAAGGATAACTGAATCACACACACAAATTGTTTGGCAGAAAGAAGGTACTTAAGTACAAAACTAGGCCTGAATAAAAGCTCCAAAATACCCCAGACCAAGGCGGAGCTGGCAAACAAAATGATTGTATGTAAGGACAATTTAAAATTGTGAAAATACAATGCAAACATTGACAAGAAAACAAAGAAAAATTAAAGCTGCAAGCAGCGTCACAGGGGCCCAAGCTTCAAACATATATTCCATAAATAATGAGGTCAAATGATACACAAGATACACAATTGGTTAGTTTGAATTATTAGTACCATGAAGTCGAAATGCAGTTGATTCTATACATTTGTTTGAAATATAAAGGTTATGCATATTAATCAGTTCACATGACCATATATGGTCATCTGTTATTTTAATCAAATCTCTTGTTCAATGTTGTCATAATAACACAAGATTCATCTTCCTAACTGCAACAGTGTTTGAGATATGACAGTTATGCATATTAATGAGCTCACATGACCATATATGGTCATTTGTTATTTTAATCAAATCTCTTGTTCAACGTTGTCATAATAACACAGGATTAATCATCCTAACGACAACAGTGCTTGAGTTATAACAGTTATGCATATTAATGAGGTTAGAAGCCCCCACCCCATGGGTGCCCAGCCACGTGGCCTAACAGTGTGCTATTCGGGCAAAAATGCATCTGGTGACACAAATGCACATACAAAATTTGAAAGAAATCAGACTAATTGTCACAAGGTTCCAAAATACATATGTAATTTCAGATCATAGTAATGTAATTATTATAAAATTAATTCCACGAAGCATGCAAATTTGCAACGATAAATATAACCTGGGCAGAATAATCCCAGCAAAGAATTGTGTTGAGTGGGACGTCGATTTCCCACTCAAAGTGAAATGCACGTACGTCTGCTAATTTTAAGTGGCGTAATAAGGACGCCACCAATGTCAACGAACCAACTAATTGCTTACTGAAGAGGATCAACATGCTAATTGTCTGTTATGTTAATTCATGCATGGTATTTAATGAATGGAAAAGCTATTGTCAACGTCTTTCCTGCCACGCTGTTGCTGAGTGTGCACATCATTTGTGCGTCGGAAGGCCCGGCTCTTTTATGTCCACTTCCACTTCGACAGCGTGCACAGCAGGTCTACGCTTCCACATGAATTGTACTGTGGACATGGTATGCATAATAATTATTTCAGAATTATTTTAGAGTCGTAGTGTGTTATTTTGTTCAATGCTTTGTTGGGTTTAATACTTTTGCCAACTTTGGTATGAACGGTTCACTTGGTTGAAACACCAAATAGTTAAGACGTTTACAGTTGGAATAGATCAATACTTTTGTTAAACTCTACATATGTTTCTTACTTTTGGCTCTACATACTCCAGTCACTTGTCACTCTTGACTGGAACTTGAAGCCGTGTGTATATATCAGTTGTTCCGTATATGCCCTCTTTGTATTATTCCCCCTTTATTTATAGTTGTGTTAATAACATATTGAGTTGAAAGTTAATGCATCTTCGTGTTGTCATTGCAAGCGTGTGTGTCGAATTCGTATACATTTCCAAACCTGGTCACCCCAATAATGGGTAAAGAACCCACAACACAAGGCAAGGTGTTTTGGTCCTCCTTTGGCTACCATTTTTAATTAACTGAAAACAAGCCTTGTGACACTAATACAAAACATGTAGTTGCATAATTTCTAATTTCACAAAATCCAAGATGGCGGCCAAACCATGCCATGAAGCAATATTTACATGACCAACGATTATGGTCTGACAAAACACAAAAATGAACCTATAAGAATTACTCAAATATGTTATACAAAAAAGCGCGCATTTGTACCTTGATTAATGGTTGTTACCACTTCTCATATTATACGGTGGCTTAATATTAACAATTTCAATTTGGCAACGATAATCAGCTCAGGCGTGTCGAGGAGTAAACTATATTCCACCTTGGAACTAAAGAACCCCATGGAATTAACAAATAGTTCAACTCGTTTGTTAGCTTACTACCTGAGGTGCGTTATATGTTCTATTGTGGAATCTTTTAGTGATTCTATTTTATAGTTCATGCGCGTTCTTACGTTCCTATGTTTCTACCTGTACGTTTTAACATTTTCTTCTATGCTATCCATAAAGAGCCATTGCTCAAAACGTCTAGCTATTTTTAATAGTTATTTAGGACTACAATACCGAATATTATCTTCTATCAATTTAGTAATGGCTGGCAAGGTCATTAATCCTGTATCATTTGTGAAGTTACTTTTGGTCACTATTGACAACAACCTTTATTGGTCTAACCATATTTCTTCCATTGAAAATGAATTTCATACTAAATTCTTTCCCCCCATGCTTTGTATACATGGCTTGAATGATTATTTAAGCTATATTTAAAAAAAAAACCTATAACCCCAGATTACATAAGTAGCATATTCCATAGCTTATATTCAGTCGAGTCAAAACGTATTAAAAGTATCTAAATCCAGAACTATGCATCACAAGTGTACTATGTTTATGTCTTGCTTGTCTAGATTTATTTTATTAATTAGTTAGAATTAATGAAGGATCCATGTATAATTCTATCTCCCTTTTATGCCTACTTAAGAATATGCCATTTCCCTAACTTAATATCACGTATTCGTGGGATTTGAAAAAAAATGTATTCCAGTTTAGTAGTATACTTTTCTGTTACCATACCTGTTCAACAGTTCCAGCTACCTTGTTGCTTCTGGCAACCATGCCTGATACATCTTCCCCTGGTTGATTCCAGACACAGGACTTTGTTTTACGACCATTACCGTCGTCTCGTCCACCTGCATTTTCCTGCACTGTTTTACTCTCCAATACGGACTTTAATTTTACAATTTCTCTGTCACAAAGTAAAGACCTTGAGAAACGAAAGAACTATTTTTAGATAAATTAAACATTTATTATTTGTGAATTATAAGAAGGCGTCAATGCGTTAACAAAAATGAGAATCCTAGAAGTGTATCAAAGTTTTCGAGAAGTAAAAGCCAAATCATTTAATGATGATATAAACGTTCTTAACATAATATAGCATAGCATAACGAAAAATCTACTTGGATAGCTAAGATCTATTCATGATCAACTTGGTTGATTCAGAAGTGTTTATTGTCAACTAAGTGCTATAGATAGTATTCAATTTCAAGTTGAATAAAACAAATTTATGGTCAATTAAACTGTTCAGAAACTATTTGTGGGCAACTATGGGACTTAGGTAATTAAGTTCATGGTCAAATAATTCATGGTTATGTAAGTGTTCATGGATTATACATGATCAACCAAGTGACTTGAAGAAATTTACAGATAACTAAGTGACTTAATAAATATCAAAAGTCAATTGAGTGGCCTAGGAACTATTCTACATTGGGTCCATAACGGTGGGTGTGACGTATGTGGAGATTGTCTCCAAAAATATTAATCAATCAACCAATTAAAATATACTGTTAGTATACATTGGTGAATACTTTTATTAATTAATATATATATATATATATATATATATATATATATGGTACTTGCCTGATAATTATGTATCCATTATCCCTCCAACTGTCGAACATACTCTTGGTGACATGTAATTCATTTCCATCATGAACGAATTCTACAAAAGTAACGGAATTGTTGATGCAAATAAATTTGCTTTGCACACAGTCGTTTTAGTACACAATACACTGTCTCGGTAGTCGAGCCCTTTAGCAACACAGAGCGTGAATAACTTTTCTTTGCTAATGTGCATGACGTGTAGGGGAAACCCTATATAGGAATCAACATGTTGACCATGCTAGTTTTAAATTTGGAATTCGAATTGATTTTGGGTAAGTATAAATAAACTACTTTAAACTGTCAGGAAAAAGGACAGGAAAATAAAATTCGCTACGAACTGGCATTGCATTGAAATTACAATCATTGACTCGTAAATTTGAATATCAATTAAGATACTAATACGTCAAACCTGCTTTGGTGAGTGCCATATTACCACATTATGTATCTGTCATATAACAACATATGGACTTGTGATGACCTGTGTGAAACAGGGATACAAGGAATAAAATATGACAACTACATATAAAAACATAATATTTGGGGAGAGAGCATGTGAACTTGTATTATTTCTAGAGTTAACATTTATTAAATAATGGTATGTCAAAATCCCAGTAAATTTATACTAACTAGAATAACCTAAATGTCACATGAGAGAAAAAGTCTGCAGTCTCAGCTAATTTAAGTATGATAGCCAATCCTCTTTTTTCTTAGGATGAAATGGACTACTATTGGACTTTTAAAATGACTAGCCCAATTTACGAAATGAGACCTATAAGATACTAAAATGAGACCTAGAAGATCTTTCACTGAACTGCCAAGGACTGACCTCAATAACCGAAGCTCCCATAACAAATGAATAACAATGTTTATCGAAATGTCAGTGATTTGGCATCTTATTACGGATAAATTATAATATTTCCAGAAATCAGTAATCTACAGTATTTCTTTTGTCCTAACTATTGACACCAAAAACATGTTTTTATTTGAAATGCATTTTCCTCTGATTTAATGATCTAAATAAGTGAATTGTATCAGTGTACTTGATCATGATCAACTTCAAGTTCAATTCTAGCAATTATGCAATATGAGGCGAAATTACAGGCAAATACAGGATGTATTCATTCAATAACAATATAACATCTGAATATCATACCCTACTGAAATCAAACAACAAACAACAACACAGTTCTGCCAGAAGAAAAGACCCAAATGGAACGGAAGTCAAGATATCATCCTTCAAAATCAGAATTCAAATTACCAATTGTACCCAATAATTAGAAAACAACAAATATCTTTACTACACATCAAACTTTACAAGTCATTCGGGCTCATTTTGACGGTAAGCTTGGATTATTTTCTGGTGCACCATGGTTTTGTATACTGTCGAAAACAAAAGCAAAAAAACAAGCCAATACAGCCGGCACTACTACTATAAACTAATATAAATAATAACGTCGCCTACAATAAAGAGGGCCCATACATATTATATATGATGACAAAAAATATGGTGTAAAGCACAGTGAAGACGATTTAATTATAATTAAAAAATGTAGAACTAACAGCGTGCACTACGCGATAATTTAACTCATATAAATGTGTGCCTTATTTTTGCTGTTCACTAGCTTGCTTGTGTTTGTGACAGTGTTTGCTTCTTTCATACAAGTCGCATCACTTCCGGTTTATTTCACCCCCCAATAAATGTATAAAACTGCAAATTTGGAGGGATTCGTGTGAGTATTTTTCAATTACATTTTCCAAATTAACTGCCAGCACATTAAAAAAATCAGTCAATTTGCTGCCCTAAACCGCAAATCTCCGTTTTAACATGTAGTTGTTTGTATCATATGGGCGTGTCTTTCCTAGCATTTTAGAAGAATCAGCACTATACATCAGCACTAACATTTTCACACCCTCACACGCGCATCGCCCTGTCCAATATTTCAGACAGCTAGCTGCCACTGGACGCCGAGTAGTACACAGTATGGACGTTGCTACTTTTAACTTCCGGGTTAACGATATTCCAAACAAGAGCCTATACATGTATCTGATGTGTTAACTTTTGTATTCAGGACTGTCGCTGTCACGTGATGGTGTCATCAATAAGAGTCCTTGCAATATTGATGAGTTTATTTAAATGTAACTGATGTCATGATGACCAAGTCAGGGTCGAAGCATTGCCACGATGCGCGAAACAAGAGTTGCGATGTATACACTAATGTTGTCGTTTTCGAATCAGTTCAAATATATGCATATGCAAGCATATGTAGCCCACATATATATATATATATATATATACATAAACTACGACTAACCTGTAAATCACGTGGAATAACAGCCAAGTAAGCAAGCGCTCTTTGAAATTGACAATTGACTCCACTACACACTGCACACTACACACAAGTTGAAGTGAGCCGTCAAGTACTAGCTAAGAAACTAAAGCTAGCGGCCATTAATATCCGCCAAAACAATTCAGTTTAGAATTTATGTACGTTGTTCCTTTCATGTAGCTAATATACCAA